ATTATTTAAATATAGACTATATAGATTAATCTATAATACTTCCTCTTTAAGATTAAGGCCTATAACTTAGACTAGTATAGCTATAGAGAGGGGTCTTAGACCCCTAAATATATACTTCTATAGTACTTACTATATATAGATGCCTATAGGAAGATAATAGCTAAGCTATATAATATAGAGGAACTCTAGGGGAAGCTATTAGACTATAATATACTTATATCTAATCTATAGGTAATCTACTATATTACTAAACTTATATATTAAACAGGCCTGCTTAGCTAGTTCTAATATATAGAGATAGGTAAATAGGACTAGGAATATAGAAGCCTCTTATAAGGCTCTAGAATAGATATAGAAGATAATAATTAGATAGATTAAGTAGCTGCCTAGGAAGGGTCTTCCTAGGCATAGAATTACACTATATTTAGAATAACTATATAGAATAAGGTGGGATAGGTGTTTAATATATAGAGATAGTATAGGGAAGGTATATAGCCTAGTAGTAGGCTATTTTAGTTATTTTCTACTTTTAATATAGCTATATACTAATTTCTTATGTCTCTTCTATATTTATGGGTTAATTATAGGCTTCAGGTGTTTAGATACTAGATTCCTACTTCATTAGCAAAGCGCCTGCATAGCTAATCACTTCAATAGATAGGCTACATCAGGTTAATAGAATCTTGATTGATTGATTGATTGATTGACCTTTACTACAGAACTCAGTTTACATTAAGTCACTATAGCTGTCCCTAATGGGCGGTCCATTGTGTGGATTTAGCTACTGGACAGCACGCAACAGAGAAACCTGCCAAGCTGCACAACTTTGTCAGCAATGAGATTGGTCAGGCCGTCTGCTTCAACGTGCATCAGGACCATCTGTACGCCGTTTCAACCCTGGTAGAGAGGAATCTCCTTGGGCAGAGGTTTCTTGTTCACGCCTGCAATGGTCTCCCAAGCTTGCTCTTCACTGCTTCCCGAGAAGGCCAGTCGGTCTCCGTAGCTCGGTCTCCGTAGCGGTCATCCAGCATTGCGCGATGCGCAACCCACTGATATGTAATCCCCGCGCGCGGATTCCGGTTTCCAGGAGAATTTCAGACTTCAAGGGCCTTCAGCGTGGGGTGTATGGGGTCCGGAGGGCGGATGTGAACTTCATTTACCTAGAACCATTGGACGACACATCTCTTGCGACTGCACATCGGCAAACATGCCGCTACTCAAGGTGCGTGAACAGGTATTATCAACTTCTCAAGAACAATAATTCAGGGTGCCTAACAATCCGACCAGACTCCGCCCCAATGCCCGAGGCTTGTACCTACCGACAAGGCTGTCCTTGCCTAATAGGTACATTGCGCCACACACACGGCACCAATGACAAGAATCACGCCAGAGTTTACTAGAGGACAAAAAGGAGCTAGAAAGTCCAAGGGATCATCCAGACTTTATTCAAAGTTGTTATATAACATAGCCTAAGTCGTACAAAGTGCGGTGTATATCGTGATATGAGGTAACAGTTGTTAAGAAGATAGAAATCATGGATGTTAAGAGTAAACCAAACCTAAAAGCGCTATTCTTACAATGAAAAGACAACTCATTGCAGTACATCATTCTCATGCCAACATGAGCCATTGCACACAAATCACCATGTCTGTCATGTTCACACCACCAGGGCGAGGTGGTTATCGATGAAACGATCCGCCTCTCTCTTCAGCATCAAGATACAACTCGCCACAACGAACGCCTCTACACGCTGGGGGCTGGTATGCTTGTCCTCGTTCCACATGCGCAGATCGATGAACAAGCGGCCCCCATTGCCGCCCGAGTACTTCTTGGTGCCAGGGGTGCGATACTGGTCGTTGCGAATGAGCTGCGCGACGCGGGCGCCGCTCTTGCTCTGCCCGCCGCCGGGTAATGAGACGCGGTCGATGCGCTCCATGACGAGGAGATTGTCAGCGTTGGTGCCGTAGCGCCACTCGAACTTCCCGAGCGACGTGTCGAAGACCTGCGCGCGTGAGATCATCGAGCGACTCTTCACCTCGATCAGTTCCCCACGCACGTTCTCGTTTTTGATGGCGTCCTCGATGGAAACTTTGGAATGGGGATTCAAGATGCGCATCCGGGGGTGTCTCCCCGGGCCGAAGCGGTAGATGGTGGACATGAGAGTAGCCTGATCATAGACCCGGACGAGGGCGCACGAGTTGGAGTTCTCCTTGAGCCGGATGGAGACGTACTCGGCGTCCCTGGATCCGGACCGGAAGACGGAGATGTTCTCCAGCGTCCTCCCGGCAAGCGCCTGGTCCACGTCATACCCAATGGCCTGGACCTGGAGTGTGGCTGTCGGAACGAAGCCGCCAAAGTCCTTGCTGCTGCTGCTGCTGTGGTGGTGGTGGCGGGAGCCGACGGCCTCGCTGTATCGTGGCGGAGGGTCGGAGTGCGAGTCACTGCCTGACTTGGGCAGCGTCGACTTTGACGATGATGAAGTGAATAGAGTCATACTTTTGGAAGTCTAGATATAGAAGGAAGAGGAAGATAAAGACGTAGACGGTTGTGCTTGCACTGAACTGAGCTGCGGGTTGGTTGGTGATGATGAAGGTTCTGGGGGATGGTGGTTGTGGTGGTGGTGATGGTGATGGTAATAAGAAGTAGGGAGTCTAGGGACAACCGTTTATGATGGCGGTTTGTGGCTGAGCACAGCCATATAGTGACATTAGGTCAGGCTCCTGTGCGTGCATAATCTGCCCCGGCACAGCCCCCAATGGAAAGGCGGGGGCCTAGCTGCAAATGTCCTCAATTTACCAATAACATACCTGGTAAAGAGGGAGGACCCTAGTTCAAATGCAAAACATCAATCCATGGCGATGCTCGTGCATACAAGCAAGAAGATGGTTGAATTCCATTTAGAAAGCAACCTTGTACTCTGTCGCGATACAATGGTCGTCCCAACAGTGACGCTTCCTCCTCCGTCCTCCGTGCCGGATATAGAGAAGAGTATGACAGGTCTACCTCCTGGCTTAACGGTCCTGGCATTCTTACCGAAAAGATGACAGACCTGCTCCAAGACTTCTCATTCTGGTTGTACCAGGGAATGGGCACGGACCCTACAAATATGGAAAGCTGGCGATACTCAAATTTCAAACCTGAAAATAGGCTTGAGCAATGCATCAGTATGGCGTTGTTATCTCTAGCAGATCACCTCAGCTCCATGGGTACGCATCCATGCGCAGTCATTTTTCGTCAGATAAAGCAGCGTGTTCAGTTGCTCTCCTCATTCACAGAATTGTGGTCTTTGCCATTCCTCGTTGAATGTATGATCTGGATGTGCACTGTTATTGCAATACCACGAAATAGAACATTACTCGCTCAAGATGAGTAGATTGCATTGGTAAGAAGGTCCGTTCGGGGCAAGACCCTCCTTCGATAGCAGTTCTGCAACAGTTTTTTATGACCAGACCCGCGGGGCGGATTGGCAAGACGCCTTGAATCTTGCCCCGACCGTCATGACCAATCAGTCATTGATGGGTTGCTAAATAATTCTGATATGAACACCTGCACCTGTCACTGCTTGCTTCGTTCTGCTTAAGTGACGTAGATGGAAAGAGGGAGTGGTGTTGTGACAGAGGGGGTTTTCATCTGACCTTTACCATCTCTTTAGATCTCTTAACGTCGTGATGTTGTCAGCTGCGTGTAAATCAGTAATGTATATAGTACTATATCTTTGTATATATTTCCAGCGGATATTCACGAGTACCGCTTATTTTAATTGCATTTCTTAATTACATTTCATCTCCCTCATAGAATCAAATGGGCGGGAAGGAATCTAAGGTGTTGGGTGAAACCATACAATGAGTCCTTGCCTTCTAGGCTCATCAAAATCTAGTCACCAAAAGAGCTTCAGCGGGTATTTTCAAGGGTTCTGTGGGTTCCAGATTGCCTTTCGAGCAGTGGAATACTTAAATGATTACTCAACACAAACAGAAAAACCAAACCAACTTGGATCCGCTGCACATATCGCTGGATAATTACGATATCGAGAATACTGATCCCTGAAGATCACCATCACTAGGGCTGACACAACAGGCTTGACTGTTCAAACGCCACCATGTGCTGGTAACAACTATTCCTTGTTTGGTTGGCTAACCAGCTCATACTTTTTCTGAGTACCTCCCTAGTGCCTCGCCAAAAGTTTTGTAGAATCTACAAACGATGGTCGGCCCTGTGAGGTTATTAGACAGGTATTTATCCGCTGCGTCACAGTGAATGCACTGGCTAACAGCCGCCTGGTTTTCTGTCAAATAGACGAAACTCAATAGACCACAGCTTAGTTGCTTGTGGGAGCATTGTGAAAAGGTAAAATATATTTCCCCCCACAATTCTATAAATACATTGTTATGCCGAGAGTTACAAGTCCTTTAAATGTGGTTCAGACCTTAGCAGACATTACCGAATCCATACTAATGAGCGACCTTACTCTTGTACTATCGAGACTTGCAACGATAGTTTCATCTAACCAAACGCACTGAAAGTCCACATGCGGACACATATGAGGGAAAAGCCATATATTTGTGATTACTTAGGGTGCCGCAAAGCCTTCTCTGATGTGTGAGCCTCAAAACCGTAAATAGAGGCTTTACACTGACATTCAGTTGGCAGTCATCCGGAATCCACTGCGCATTCCTCCTCCTTCATTAAAAATAAGGGTGTATCCAGGGCCCTTGAGTTCTAGCGACTTCTAATGAACTATACTGCCATATTCTCGACCTTTCTGACAAGCTTATAGTACAAAGGTAAGCTTTCTTGATTATTGATCAATTACTTATTCTGATATTTTGTTGATATCATCAATTATCTTGAGCTTTTTCCTGATCATAAATCAGTATACTTAACTGATTACCATATACGAACAAATATTTGATTAGTGAGCTACTCAAACTATATAAAGGCCACAAATTATCCGCTTTTAGGTACTCATTCTTGGTCCAGATCTTATCATCCCTTCCACCATGCATCTACCTTCCTCTCTCGCGCTGTTGCTCGCGACATCAGTGAGACCGTGTTTGCCAATTGCGACACGCGTCCATGTTCTACTCAAACCATCATTGAAAGAGAGACTTGCAAATTTACACCCATCATGCGAGCGCAGTACCCCTCGTGTATCAGAAGTCGATAGAACTCAGCTTCTCACCAACTACATTCACCTTGATATCTACCAAAGACGAAGCTGTACTTGTCGATGCACCGATCTCTCCTGAACGCGGCAAGGAACTGGCAGACTGGATTAAGGTGACCATTTCAGGTCGGAAGCTCACGGGGATATATGTGACCCATGGCCATGGTGACCACTTCTTCGCCATCCCCAAGATCCAAAAACGGTTCCCCGGTGCAAGAGTCCTGGCAACGCAAGAGGTTTACGACCACATGCTCCAACAGGTTGAACCTGGATTTTTCGCCTCATTCTGGGCTGCCCTCTTTCCCGATCTTGAGGCGCCGGGCCTTTCCGATATCAACCTCGATATACTCGATCCTTCCACCAGTCTATCCTTCTACTTGAGCAGCGGAAACGGACATTATAAGGAACAGTACGAGCTTCGAGCGGTACCAGTCGGCGAGGGAGACACAGTCAACTCTACTGTGCTTGATGTGCCTGAGGTCAAGACCGTCATTACCGGAGACGTTGTTTATGGCAATTGCTACCAGTATCTAGCTGAGAATCCGACGGCGGAACTCCGTTTCCAGTGGCTCAAGAGCATTGACAAGTTGGCTTTACTGCAACCTCAATATGTGATTCCATCGCATGCGCTTCCCACGGACAACTATGAGAAGAATCACTTGACCGAGACCAAGATGTATATTGAGACTTTCGAGCAGTTTCTCGCAGAGTCTTCATCATGGCAGGAGTTGGAAACCTCACTCAAGGGTCGCTTTCCTCAACGAGAAGGCACTTTCATACTGGGATATTCGACACAGACGTTTTTCAATGCGTCGTTCTAGGTTCATTATAGAAGATGAATGTAGATATAGCCAAGGTTGAGGGGTGTTAGTGAGCAAATTGCTAGAGTAAAGTAGAATAGAATGAAATTAGTTGTAATACACATCAATCGGACATTAGGAACATGTACACTCCCTCGGAGCTGATCAAGCTTAACCGGCCCAATCAGGATCCTCCATATAGGGAGTCATGGGTTCAGGTTAACACCATAATCATAGCTTATCTTAATGAAACTTATGCCATTTAATAGAGGCTCAACTACCAAGCTAGTCATCTATTATTTTAGCTATAAATAAAAGCATAATAAAGGCTAACCTGTCCTGGGAGCAGAAGATCAATAATGCTATATCCCATACAGTCCTAATCTAAGGGTAATCCTGCTTTTGCACACAACCCTATTATTCCTTACCACTAACCGCTCTAGCATATTTAAGTCCTACATCCACCTCAAGCCCCTCCCCTCTAGCTGACGCATCTATGCGCTCGAGTCCCCAATCCTTAACTGCCCTAAGATGTTTAACCTCTATCCCTAAAATGGCCACTATCTTCCTCCGCACCATCTGCTGCATCTAACCATAAGGCCCATACCTCCTCAGCAGAAGGTCTGCAGGCTTATAATATATATATATAAAGTCACACACTGCCTCACAATGGTGAGGGGGACCACCTCCGCACTGATCATCCTTAACATACACGCCCCCTTGCTCATTTTCACTAGGGTGTTTTCATCCGGCGTTATTCGCTTACCCTTGGTTTTTATGGATCAATCCTCCACGGCCTAATATCGCGCTGCTGATAAGCAGCCTAGGCCTAGTACCCAAGGAATGCTGCGCTTTCCGGCAGTAGGGCTTGCTTCTGCGAACAAAATAGGCAGGTGGTGAATACAGAGAGTAGATTTGGGAAGTACGAAGTACAGTCCACCATTGGGAGCCAGAGTGAAATAATATAAGGTAGTTAGCAACTATGTGCAATGCTAATCAAGCTGAACCCGGATGGAATTCAATATCCCAAAGTTTTAGGCATATCCACAAAGAGCCGGGCTCATCAGAAAGGGAAGTAAGCTAGTCTAGGAAATATTCCAAACCGTAGTCTAGATTAGAGCGTGATGGATTCTCGCGCAATCGAAGTCTACTTACCTCCGCAATCCCCGACTCGTCTATTCAAGGCCTATGTTAGCAGCTAGAAAGATAGCTTAAAATAAGCCAGGAGTCTCCTACGCGCAAATATAACCCGCCAATTGATCGGCACGCCAAGCCAGCCAAATGTAACGCTGGGGGCCTGAAGCAAGGCCCCAGTGCCAATGCCAAGATCCTAGGGGCGAGCTTGCCCGTCCGCCTGATAGTAAACTGGGAGTAAACTTGGCAGTAATACTCCAACACGGGAATAGGATATATACACGCTTGGACTAGCGCTTATTGGAACGGTGTCAAAAACAACCCGACTGCTCTAGCCTCGTGACACTCTTCTCAGCCTCCAGGCGTTCAATTATCAATATCCTAGGGATGCCGGATCCTGCGTTGGAAGTGCCACTGATTTGATTGGCCTATAAGCCTAACTTGATAACTACTAAACCAGATAGATTAAATGGTCTTGTAAACGGTCCCTAAACTGAGTCAAGGTCCTGAATTTGTCATCCAGTGGCAGATTGATCTGTGTCTGAGCCACTGACCGTGACTGGCCAGTTTAACCCGGAGACAACTATACCAATTGAAACGGAGCAATGGGTTGTTTGTTGGTTCAGGGAGAACAAAAGTATCTATTTTAGTTGTATTAACGTAGAACTTTCCTGCTAGGGAATTCCTATGCTGACTGAACTAGCGAGTCGGAATTGGTGCGAACTGTCTGGAGATTATGGGCGAAGGATTAAGATGGGATATTGCATTTGCATAAAGGAGTGACGCCCACCTGCCCAGAGCTTCAGAAGGCAAGGTTTTGAGCATCGCGCAGCACTGCCAATGTTAGATATGCCATGGCTCGGGGTTTCAGTTACCTTGTGCTCGTGCTATGCGGTATTTGGGTGCAGGCGACCGCTGTCATCTCTTCTAATTCTACCCTGAATGCAGTCAGTGAACTGCCTTCAACACTATACCGCTCGTATCTAACCCCGACTCTGCATAGCCGGGACGACAAGGTTGATTTGAGGATATTATGCCTTGGTGCCTCTATTACGTGGGGTGTGGGCTCGTCAACTGGGAATGGGTATGATCCTTCACTCCTCGGATTGGTGCTAAGGGACACATTTCTGATATCACAGTTACCGGAAACCCTTGCGCGATAGACTTCGCTTTGAAGGATACGAGGTTGATATGGTTGGGACCAAGCATAATGGAGACATGGCCGACAATGTACGTCCTTTTGGCATGAGCTACCAACGGCGAGAGCAAACACTAATATCCCATCAGGACGTGGAAGCCCACCCAGGGGATGTCATTGATCAGGTGCACACCGCTGCTCGAGGCTCATACAGATACAATCCTAATGTTGTCCTGATCAACGCGGGCACCAACGACTGTCTGCAAAACCGCGATATCGCGGGTGCCGGCGAGCGGATGAGGGTGCTCGTCAATGATCTATTCCAGTCAATCAGCGGCGTGACCGTTGTCCTGTCGACTCTCATCCCCTGCAAAGACCCCACCGGCGAGGCGAATTGCCGGCTGTAAACGCCCAGTATCGCACCTTGGTGAGTGCCTTGCGTGGTGAGGGGAGGAGTATCATCCTCGCGGATATGGATCCGCCAGCACTGAATGAGGGGAGTGGATGGCTAGATCTCAACAAAGATTACTACGATAATATCCATCCGAACGACATTGGATACCCTAAGATGGCTGTGGTGTGGTATCAGGCTATTTCAACGGCCTTTATGGATACCTTGCTCAAGAAACCTGGTGGCTCCTATGTGGTAACACCCGGTAGCGATGGTCTTCAATGCGACAAACAGTATGGTGATGGAGTCTACGCCGGCGGTCTCACGCAACGGGGCAGCGGTGAAGATGACGGGATTTACCGCCATGACAGCGCCTCCATGGGGATAGTACTTACGGTGGAAAGCGACTATGACCGGAACCAATGGTTCTTCGTGCGGCTCTTTGCCAGGGAGCGCGATGACTTTGTTGGCTGGTATGAGCGAAATGATGGGTCACAGTGGTATGGAGTATGGCGCAACACGGGGGATGAAGCCAATCTTTTCACCAAGATTGCGGACATGAACGTCTCCATCGCCTGCATTCCCCGAGGAGTGAACTTTATTGACATCAATGCCGACGGACTGGATGACTTTGTCTGCATTGGCCCGGGTGGTGATGCTTACCCGAGTATCAATCAGGGGGACGGTGATATTGGCAGCGGCAAACCGCCCTCGTTCAAAGATATTGGTCAAATCAAGGACGCCGTCAGTGGCTATCCGCAAGCACAAGTCCGATTGGGAGATGTCGATGGTGATGGTCGTGCCGATTACTGTGTCTTTGACGCGGCTGGTGATATGACCTGCTGGCGCAATGGCTGGATAGAGGATAAGCCCGCGTACTGGCAGGGACTCGGCCAACGGTTTTCAGGCAAGAATATGGGAAACCTAACCAGTGTGAGATTGGAAGACATTCACAGTGATGTAAGTCTACACACTGGCCATAATTTAATCAGTCGGATACCGGCATGATATCAAACTAATCTCAATCTCGATTCTAGGGCCGCGATGACTGGGTGTGGATAGGCGACACGGGCGAAGCCTACATGTAAAGCAATTCCAGGAGCTGCCAGCACGGAACTGATGGTGACGGTTTGAACATCGCTTGGCGGCAGGGTTTCTGGCAGGGTACCAATTCTGGACCAACTTACAATGGAATGAGCGTCGACGGCGTCCGGGAGCGGATTCACTTTGCCAGGGTATATGGTGAACCCGAAGACTTCGGCCTCCTTGGCCGTCAAGATTATGTGTACCTTGAACACAGCAAAGACGGCGATCGCCACAAGTTTGCCATGTATGTCTGGAAGAACAAGGGGTCGGGATCCATGAAGCTCAAGGTCGATGGGAATAAATACTGCAATATGAAAGGTCATACGAACGGCATGGATGACTATGTCTGGACTCACTCTAAAGGACATATGACTCTCTATCCCAACTGAGGAATGGACAGTGTGGTCGATGGCGGGCCATCCTTCTGGGACTCATCGGAAGTTATCTTTGATCTGTCAACATTCGGCCGGATGCTGGACCGTTGGGACCTGCATCTTGCTGACTGGGATGGGGATGGAGCCTGCGATATCATCTGGGTTGATCCAGACAATCAAAATCGCGTCCAACTGTGGAGGAATACATACAAAGAGACCGGGACGTGGAACTGGGACAATAACGCAAACCCAGCACCCGATCTCTACTGTCCCGAGAAACGGGGCATCGGCATCTTTGATCTCCCTGTCCAGTTTGCGGATATCTCGGGCAATGGCAAGGCAGATTACCTGTGCATTGAGAAAGATGGCCGAACTTGGGGTTGGGTTCACAATGATGCCAATGGGTGGGATTATATCGATCAGTTCAAATACTCCGAACAGAAGGACCATGCAAATTTGCGATGGGCTGACGTCAATGGCGACTGAAAAGCGGATCTCATCTGGACAGACAAATTCTCCGGTGATGGCTCTGTCTGGTATAATAATGGCCCCAAGGACGTCAAGGGCAGCCGCTATGAGTGGGTTCCTCAAGGAAAGCTCTACCAGGGCAACCAAGCCGGCAGCTGTATGTACTATCCAGACTTCCAGGGCGATAACCGAGCGGATATGCATGCAGTTAGGGCACATTCACCAACGAGGCCGAAACCTGGTTCAACACATGCGGCGGAGGTGACAATATCGGTGATGACGGCCAGCAGATCCTCGACCCTAAGCTGCCGATACAGCCGGGAAGTAAAGGGTCTTCCAACCCCGCGTGGATGGATGAAATCTGTGCCGATGGCAAGTTTGAGGAAGGAACATTGGCAGGGGCTCTCTGGGATCGGTCGATGGCGGGCGACGCCTGGAATGACGCCGTGGCCAGCTGGAATGACTACATCCCCGACGACGAAGAGCGCATCAGCTTTTCTCAATTTGTGAGTACAAGACCCCAGTCTAGACGCTCTGATGCTCACATCATACCCTTAGGTTTCATCGCGGTTCTTTGGTGGTCCAGAAGGCATGCATTGTGAGATCTATGCAGAGGGAAACGGCTGCGGGGAGGATTCACAACTTCAATGCGCCTCAGACGGGATCACAACCCCGGCAGGAAAGTACATTCTCAATTCGTTTAAGAGGCTTGACGCGGTCAGTTAAACCAAAGTCCCCCCGGAGCGTGGCGCTGTGGCTGATTCGGATTTACCTAGGTCCTCTGGAACTTGCACGACGCATTGGAAGGCATGTTGGGAATCATTAAGGCTGAGATGGATAACTTCACGGACACGTTCGCACCACTTCCAGATGAAGGCATTACTCTAGGAACTATCCTGGGAAATCTCCTCGGCATGGGATATGGATCTTTGTCCTCGCGGATGTGGGAAAAGGGTAAGTTGCTAATCTGAGAGCTCATCCATCCCACACAGCTAACAACATGAGCTGCTTTGTCTCAGGTGAAGTCTCTTGATACACCGGAAATTGCCAAAAAGAAAATCTAGTCAGCTAGGAAGTGATAGCTTCCTATTCAATCTTGCATATGAGAATGATGTTCTGCATCAACATTCTTTTGTCACTAATAACAAATTCGTACTTATGATGATAGGTACTGGGACGATTCCCTAGAACTAGTGATTCGGTCTCAGGAAATAGGACACAAAGTATCGGTCCTCCACACCATCGGTCGGCTGGCTCACTCGATGGACTGGGGAGTGTAGGCGACCGCCGGTCTGTCTTTGTAGATAATTTGCGACGTTGGCCAAGACACAACCAGGTTTGGGGTCAATCCATAGCCACTCTTTCGTGTCCTTAGACTGCATCTGGCTAGCCCATTTCTCGCACCAGAGCAAGGTGATCGAACCGCCGTCAGTGTGGGTAGTGTCGGGTACATCAGCAATGGATGATTTGGTCGGACCAGAGACGAACTTTATTCCCGAGTCGCTTTGTCCATCAGGGTGATGAGCATTTTCCAGATCCGAGGGTTCACCAAGACCAAGACTATCAGAAATACTGCGGAGACAGGTGCGGACTATGGTATCGCAGATATTAGAAAGATCTAGTGTCGCCCCAGCGTGTTCTGCGAAGGGACTTGGCAAAGTGATGCTGTTCTGTTCGTCTCGAGTGATCTGGGAGTAGTTAGTCACCCTGTATTATTGAAACGTCATAGACATACCTACTTCGAATGATTCAATGCCTGCGCACTTGTAGCTATTGATGTGTGAATATATGTTAATCTGTCTGGCACCACTAGTAGAGGTCGACATACCCGTGACACACACCCTCCCTGAACGCTTTCATCTTCTCGCCTAAAGGCTTGGCGAAGTACTCATGGGAGTTCAAGTAACAAGTCCGGAGATAGCCTGAAATCTTCTTGGAGAGGTCATCGTTGAAAGTGATATAGAAAAATCCCTCAGACTCGGCGGCCTTCAAAAGTTTCGCCATCTCGACTGGGTCTTTTGCAGTAAGACTTTCCAGTTTGATTACTTCGAGATTAGCGACGTCCAAAGATCGGTCCCCCACCATCCTAGGAGACTTGAGAGGGTAAATCATAGTTGCGACCTCGTAAGCTGGAATGTTAGGGATAAGTCAACCAGGGTGTTTGTTTCCAGCTCAGGGATAGCTATTATATGGGAATTAAGGAGCAATTTCACGCCAACCTCGCGTGCCAAACATAGCGCATAGAAGGCACTATTGGATATTGATCGGCAGTCGGGTAGGGTCCAGCAATCGAATAGCCGTAATGAAATGTTGACACGCATGGGTTTCCTGTACTAGAGCTCTCATCCTCGAGAAGATGCATGTATGCCCTGGCCCAATGCATTTACGTAAGTTAGATCCAGACTTGCCTCATTAGAACCCAATTATGCACGATACCGCTCCACCATCGACATGCTCATTATCTATATGGCTTAACATGATGTATTGAAAAACAATATTAGTTCAATACCATTCAATGCTAAATACAGTGCAGGTGGTGTTTCATAGGTCCGTAATACCCCGCAGCTCTGGAGCCTCCTAACTATGCTATGAGTTACATTTTTCTATTCACGAATGACATGGAGAAGGGTTGTATTAAGCACAGAGCTTCTGTTGACTCTGAGGAGGGGCTATATTTTATTAACTGAATAGCTTTAAGTTCCTAAGAAAAATAAAGTATGCGCGTGTATACTTGCCCTAAACCCAAGGACCGCGAGAAACGCAACGTGATCAGTCACATATATACAAGCCACAGCTGAGTCTAGTAACATTACTCAGGTCGATCAACCTGATTTCCTGGCTATTTTAGTTGTCAGGTGAGCACTCAAAGGGAGCACATGACTAGATGGATATATTACTCTTCTGAAACTCTGCTCTGCAAGAACCCTGGACTCTCTATAGCTGAGTATATGCTACAAGTACCTACAGTATATACTCCCTAATTTTAGGTCCATACTAGGTAAGTACCTAGTTATAGGGAACACTTAGTTAAGGCTGCAGAAGTTATTATAAGGGTGTAAAATTATATCTGCTATTTAGCATCAACTTTAACTAATAAGCTTGTCAACTTATTATAATTAAGTCACTCTTAATATCTGCCTTGCACATGAGGAATGATAGGTTAGGATGTAAGTACCTAGTACCTAGGTAGCTAGCCTTTGCTCCACCCAGCTATACCTTACTCTAAGGCACTAAGGTACTAGATAGTAAGTACTCCATACATACCTAGCCTTACAGAGTAAGCTAGTTTAAATATAGGGTAATTTATAATAAGTGCTCTTATCTTTCTAGGTTAAGGGGAATTTTACATACCATGATAGAAGGATTTATCATATCATAATACAGATAATTAATACCATTACTATTCTATTACCTACTACCTATCTACCATACCCCAGGTCTTACCTGCTGCGCTAAACTAGCTGATCAATAGTCAGTTAGGCTGCATGCTCCAGATCATCTGCCATAAGTTACAGTATTCCAGGTTGCATCATCCTCTGCTGCCCTTGCCTGCTGAGGAGTCCATTTAAAACTTACACAAATTGTGCTGATGTTAGGGGATTTATTGCATCTGCCAAGTTTGGTCCCTAATCTGGTTTCCTTGGCATTACGGTTGTCGTAACACCGTGTACCTTAATCATGCATGCCCCATGATATTCATTCTCTTCTTCAATCAATCAACCTTTGCATCCAAGATGTGTTCCGCTTGACCCTATCCTCTATCCTATTCGCTCGTACGGATTACTAGCCCATACTATCTCAGCTTGCGCAGATAGCATGTAGGTTGCATTGTACATGCGTATCATCCCTGGTGTTTAATTTACTTCTGGTTCCCCTGTCCTTGGGGCCATAACCCATCGTTATATTCTTTTAATTGTGCTTTGAAAAGCTTCACGAGTCTGTGAATAAATCATCCACTACCATGGCCCCCAGCGAATTACGTGGACCTCCCCTTCCAGACTCCGACGCAACCCTCCACGAGGTGTTTTATCAGAACGTTGTGAAATACCCCGATACCGTGGCCCTTGTCAGTACCCAGCAAGCCGCTGTTCTGTACGGAATCCCGAGCCTGTCCATCGACACCGCCAAACGTGAAGCGGACTATCTACGATGGACCTACCGGGACCTCGATCGCGCTATACAGCGACTTGTCACTGGTTTACAAAGTCGAGGACTGAAGAGAGGTGACGCATTGGTTATATCCATGCCAAATATCGCCGAATACGTCATTGCCACCTGGGCTGCGTACCAAATCGGCTGCACCTACGTTCCAATCAACCCCAAGGGTCTATCCAATGCCAGAGAGATGCGGCATATGTTGCAGACCGCGATAAAAGGATGTCAGTCAGACTTTTTGGGCATCATTGCCGGAACATCTGATATATGTGTGCGTATTGATGAGCTGACGTCCGAGCTGAACTGCATGAGAATATTGGTCGAAGGGGAGATGGATGGGTGGACACCATTTAAGGAGCTGATGCAGAATCCAGCTCCAGACTCCCAGCAAAGCCTATGCAGAGGTCACTACTCAAAACTTTCTGATCGAACAATCTTCTTCACCAGTGGAACGACGTCTCTCCCGAAAGGTTGTATTATGCCATCAGCGTATGGCTTTGCGGCCGCTTTATGCTGGCGCCAAAGCAGTGTTCCTATGTTGCCCGGGGATCGGGTATTATTTACATTGCCAAATAACCACGGATTTGGTTGGCTTTGTATCATATCTAGCTTCCTTAACGCAGCCACAGCTGTGCTTCCGGGACCAAGGTTCATTCCAGAGGCTGTGATAAAGGCCATCCGGGAAGAGCGAGTGAGCCACGCTGGATTGGTGCCAACCATGCTGCACGCTCTGAGCAATGTACCAATTGCATCCAGGAAACTGAATTCCCTTAGGCGGATTGTAATGGGAGGCTCTCCCCCAACCGAAGAGGTCATCAGGATCTGTCTCGACACGTTAGGTGCGTCGGGGGTGGAAAATCTCTACGGTATGACCGAGGGCATACTTGTCTCTTCTGGTGTGGTGAGCCAAGCCAGTGATATTATCAAAGGTAGAATTGTTTCTATTGGCACGCCGCTCCCTGGCATGACTGTCCGCATATACGCCAAGGACAGCAAAGTGCCAACTGTGGCTGGAGAGGCTGGCGAGATACACTTCTCAGGTCCAAGTCTGATCAACGGATATATTGGAGGAGCCGATGGTAACTTCTACAACGGAGAGGATGGCCGTCCATGGTTCCGCACTGGTGATAAAGCCTTCATTGGTGGCGACGATCGTCTCTACCTGATTGGTAGGTACAAGGATACCATTATCCGCGGAGGGGAGAACATTGAACCACAAGCCATCGAAGCGGTCCTGGGTCAAATCCCTGAAATAAATATTCTTCAACCTCAAATTGTACGTGCACCGGACAATATCGCTGGCGAAGTTCCTATTGTCGTGGTGAACCAGGAAGTCGATGACTGCACAGCAAGAAGACTTAAAGACACCGTCTTGACCCAGATGGGAAATCTTTATGTTCCGGCAGATGTGATACCGATACAGGCACTAGGATATGAAAGATACCCTGATACTATGGCAGGAAAGGTCCAAAAGGCCAAACTAGAAGACCTGGTCAGGACATATTGGGAACACCAGCATACGCAAGGCAGTCACAGTATCGATGGGCCCATTTCAGGCCCTCAAGTCACGCAGTCATTGTGTATGGCCATCGAAAAAGAGCAGGGACATCCGATTGACCCCTTTCTTCGGATGATTGAGCTAGGAGTTGATTCAATCCTGTCTATCGCAATTCTCAAGCGCGTCCAGGCAGAAACAGGAGTATCATTGCCATCATCTCTGTTCTTCACCCAGGCAACAGTCGGTGCAATCTGCCAACAGATCAGTTCCATTTCGGACCCGGCAGACTTTCTTAATTTCGCACCCGTCATGGAAGACGCACCTAGCAATCCATGCTTTTCAGTCCTGCTCCAGGGAACCCCTAGAGCTGGCATTCCCTCCCTCTTCCTTACCCCTCCAGGCTCTGGAAATGCGTTCGTGTACAGAACGCTGCCTAAATTTGCCAACGACTGTGCAGTCTATAGCTTTGGCTCTCCATTCCTCATGACCAAATCCGAGTCCTCTTGGACGATAGAAGATACTGCTGCCATTTACGCAAACACCATTCGCAGCATTGATCCACAAGGGCCATATATACTATGCGGCTGGTCAATGGGAACAGCCACTGCCTACGAAACCGCATACCAGCTCCACGAACAAGGAAAGCAAGTTCTAGGGATAATCATGCTTGACTTGGCTTTGCCTCGGCCCCCTCCCAAGATCCCAGAGGCAACCGTTGAGCTGTTTGAAATGATGGGCGTATTCCCCCCCATTCGTCGTGAAGGCAAGCCTGACGTGGAGATTCCCGCTTTTCGGAAGAAGCATCGTGTCGCAGCTTACTACGCGAAAATGAAATATGTGCCTCGCCCCTTCAACACCTCAGGCAATGCAAGCCGACCGCAGATATTTGTCATCTGGGCTGGGCATGGCGATCATGACAGGATGGCAGCCATGGTTCTCGAAGCAATGGATCTTTTGAAGAAAGAGGGACCGGGGACAAAAATGAAAATTAGCGATGACTGGCTTCATCTCCCTCGTGAATCTTTTGATGCTGGTGGCTGGGATGAAATGGTTGGACCGGAGAATGTCGAATGGGGCGTTGTAGAAGACGCCGATCATGACACGCTTATAGAGTCAGAAGGACTGGTAGGTCTCGCGTCATTTACCCCTTGCCTGTACTCTCCAGCCTGATCTACTTACTAACCATTGATAGGTGGTTTTGACTAAGGGCTTGATGGAAGAGGTAATGGATAAATGGCTGCGAGAAATGGAGGTTAAGCAGCCCAACAGTTCAGGTTGACGCACCGTGCGTTTCAGGAGACGGGGTATTTCGGACAACATCATTTTTTTCACGACAGGGACGACTTTGCCCTTTTTTGGTTCGCCCCAGCCCTCTGTGGATGATACTAGGTGTAACAAGTTACCCAAACTGGAAACACATATGGTGGACAGGTAGATCGATTAACGAGTAGATGGGTTACCACTTTGCCATCCATACCACCTACCATACCATTAGGAACGACTGGATATATAAGTATGCTCATTTAGCATGCATGTATTTAATTCTTTATGATAAATTGCGCATTGTTACTTGGAGACTATGTTTGGCAGTTCACTGTAAGATAATCTTTCCTACAAGTAGGGGAGCTTACTTCATGAATGACATATTTGGCGCGAACTTCTGGCACGTCCAGGCTTATCACAGCAACAGTACGGTCTGGGGACCGCATGAAGCATATGTCATAGGCAGAGGACATAGGGTGAAATAGACGCATCTGCTTTTTCGCCAGATTTAGGTACTGCAAGTTGCGGCTCTTTAACTCCTCATGCGGGCTGTAGTACTGACTCTATCCCTTTGCTGCACAGAACAAACAATGTATCCCAGTCTTATTCTCTTCCTAATTGTGTTTTCTAATACCAACCAGGATTTCTAACAGTGCTACCCCCAAGTAGTCTCCATCATGATCGTGCTGTACCCGTCCCGCATCCTCCTGAGAAACAATCTTGCCCAACGACTCTCTACAGAGCTCCAGAGCACAATCCATGGATTCTGCATCAATCTCTGGGTGCCCCTGAATGGTGATAAGTCGACCAGGTAAATAAAAGCCATGGTTGTCACCGCTCACACCGGTTCCGATGGCTTGAACACCATCAGGGAGACGGAGAACAGCCTCATGATGCAGTTGGTGGAAGTTCTATGAAATCCTTCCTCAGTAGGTGCGCGGATACTTGTGGGATGTTTAACTATAACAGAAAGCATACCAGCTCTGACCGGCCAAAAAGCTGCTTTCCCAACTCTGTTAAATATGTCGGCACTACCCCAACGACATAGCCTCCATCTCTTTGCCCAACTTCACCACCTAGAGCCTTGGCAATTATTTGGTGTCCAAAGCAGATACCCACTAAAAATACCTGCTGGTCGGATGCAGCTTTTGCCGTAAACTCCACCAATCGCTGGATCCACTCCTGCCGGTCTCCCACAGAGGTTGCTGATGTTCTTTTAGCATGCAAAAGAGAGGATGTCTATGGAGTTCGTGGACATACGGGATCCAGAAATGACGGCGACATCAATCTGGTCGAGCTCGGGGTATTGAAATGCTTCGACGTTCCAACGGGATACTTGGACTGGGTATTGAATAGCATGACCAGCTCGGCTAATCCATTGCTCTACGATTTCTCCGCAATCTCCAGATTTTGTTTGTAGTGTGTGGTCACACTGCAGGACTGCCATCCGCAGCGGAGGCATGTTTGCATTTGCCATGAGAAGGGAAGAGGAATTGTAGCGGTAGGCGAACCAGTCGACACAAAAGCAGAGCTAGGGATGGGGCAAAGGTTGGAAGAAACGAAGGATTGGTCTGGGGAGTTGACCAGGAGGGTTCTATTACCAAGGAAAGATGTAGGAGGGGTTGCTGGTCTTAAATTACGACCAATTGTGGCGATGGCCATTTCTAAGGCTTTTCACAACATCTTTGTTTCTCAGCTACATAGCATTCTTATTTCTTTACCATTTTTTTATCTTTCAAGGAAAAATTCCAGGCTTTGGTTTCATGTTCAAGCAATTCGCCAGTCTCTAATGTCTGGTCCAGAACGCCTGTGTAGACCTTCATGTCGCACAGTCTTAGGAAATTCGTTTTCTTGCCTTTTGTCTATTTTTTTTTTTTCTTTTTTTCAAAAAACGCCTTCTTGTATATATATATATATATTCTTATTTTTTATTTATTTATTTTTATTTATTTTTTTTTTTGATTATAATTAACTTCATTATTATGATTGCCATTTTCATCTTTTTTCTCACTTTCTACTTTTTACTTTTACTTTTTCCTTTCTATGTTTGATATCTAATTTTTAAATTTCTGATTGTTGCATTTATCATTAAGAGCCAGGGTGACACAGCATATGAGTATAAAGTTCTCCATTGCAAAGTTCAGAGAATTGTGGTATATCTCTCCCCCTTCACCTAGCAGTGTAACCACAGAATTGCCAGAACACTCACCAATTGAATTCAACCCCGTACTAATTCTTTTTGTAGTAAATGATCACCGCTCTGAAGAGCTGGATCTTCAGTTTTATCCTTTTCACTTGCCTCTCATCTCTATTATCTCACTTTCTCCAATGATTCCGCTACTAATGAGCGAGTTAGAGACATCCATCTGATCATATCTTGTCATCGAGATGCTTTTAAGTTGGGCGAGACACGTCAACACTCATGTCACTCTTGCATCTGTTCTCTTCGTCTCCTTCTGCTATCCTATTCTTTGAATTTATGCCTCCATTGGGATAACCAGTATAAAGTTTTTCTTGCGTCTTTTGCTTTTGCTTCCTATTTTTTAATACATATTGAGGAAATTTTAACCGGAGATGCTTAGCTGAAGTTGCATTCAAAAGGGTTGTATTAAAAAGAATTATCATTGAGTGATAGTTACTTATTGGCGAACACCACCAGTTCAGAAGACTGACCTAACCCTTTAACATATTCGGCACTTAAATCATATTACTAGGGATATGGGAGTGGTACTAGTAAGTATCTATATTGCGGAAGCTTCTTGCTGATTGTACGGAGCTTCTATAGTTCTAATGGAGGGTAATGGAAGCCTGGAGTGTTCACTCTGAGAATAGTAATGTGCTATTTTGCCCATTACATTCGACTAAATCTTTCAATGTAAATTCAATGCTGGCACAGAAATCGCCTCGACCGAAACACACTGACAATCTATTTTGTGGCCCACTGACAAGGTCTTAGCGCAGATCATTTATTGAGGAAGCTGAGGGCTGCCGTAAAACGCCGCTTGTACAGTACAGTCACCGTCAAGTTCCATCGCCCAACAGGCAAAGTGCAGGATGCATCCTTACAAGAGAAGACACAATGCCATTCAAGGTGCATTCTATAGTCGTCCTACTGAATTATAATACCACTAGGCCAAAAAGGCGTCCGGACATGGTCCTCATCAGTCTAGGGTCTCATATCCATAGTCAGTGGTATTATATATTTTAACACGTCCTTAACTAAGTGGGGCCCAATGAATGATCTGCGCTACGGCCTTGGCAGTGGGGCCAGAAAATAAATTATCGAGAAAGCCTGCATTTCAGCCAGCCACTAAGGACACACCGATCATTATCTGGTGAACCTGCGGAAATCACTAATTTTGTCGCCAACCTGTAGAGAAGCAACGCCATCTGAAGAGATCTATTCGTGTCTCATGACAAGGCGCGATGTTTAGTCGAAGGGAGAAGAATCCTTTCTTACTTGCTTTTTTGTCCTGTTTATCATTTTCCTTTATTTCTGAGCCACACTACTTTACATGGTCTAACTGCCGGACATTAGCTGTTCAGTAGTGTACTTGAGTAGAGTTATGCAGCTGAAAAAGCAAATAAGGTCAGATCATCCCGTAATTTGGTGCTTGAGCACCCTATCCCTGCGTGCAGTAGTATAATACTCGCCTTCGTCGAGCTTTCCAGAGCACATCGGACGAACGCAGCACAGAGAGAGAGTTACCCTAGTCAAACTTTCCTACTAATCCAAACAATTCCACAATGCCTCTTAAACTTGAGTTGGTCATTGAGGGTCGCCAAGTCGCCTTCTCCGGTATCCTCATTCTCGTATGCGCCTCTATTATGACTTTCTTATATTTCAGAGCTTTCAGAAGCCATACAAATCTTGAAATACCCAATAGTCTGTTCGCGCAGCGGCAAAAACGCTTCAAAGAGCAACGTCCAGCTGTTAAGGCAAACGCTGAATGGATATCAAGTAGGGAGCTAGATTACTACAAAGAGCTCTATTTCAAGCTCCAAAATTTGGAGGAACACCCCGACACAATACTGATGGGACGACAAGCTTTCCTGGTTCTGCTTTCACAAGCATTGGAGGATTGCCTCAAGGCACCGGGCATACTGTCGATTGAACATTTTGACAAGAAGGAGCTTGCCCGCTTTCTCCACAATCATCAAGATAATGTGACACGGCAATACCATCAGTATATCAGTCGCCGACAATCGGGGGGTCCCCGTGAGCTTTTCCAAAATCAGCAGGCAGCTGAAGATTGGCTGAGGGAAATTGCACCGCTAAAGTTGGTCGACGGCGCCTGGCTAGGGCATTTAAACAAGATCACCATGCCTTTCTCGTTGAGGCAAATCGTGAAGAAGACTTGGCAAGTGTTCACAGAGGAACTCGGAAATGGCAACCGGGACCAACATCATGTCAAGATCTTCGAGGAGCTTCTGGGGGTATTTGAACCAAATTTGCCCTCTCCAACAACAAAGGCTATTCTGCATCCTCGATACAGGCTAGGTAGCCTCAAATATTGGAGAGCAGCTGTGGCGCAGCTGCTGGTGTCACTCTTCCCGCACGAGTTTTTGCCTGAGATTCTTGGGTTTAATATGCATTTTGAGTCCCTGCAATTGGATACTCTGCAAGCAGCGAAGGAGTTGCCGGAAGTTGGTCTCAACGCATCTTATTTCCTGCTTCATGTTTCAATTGACAATAGCCACTCGGGGCACGCTGCCATGGCTATGGAAAGTGCCGCAGACTATATTCGGCATGTTGCAGAGACTGAGGACGAGATGGCTGCTGCGGTGGCGTGGAAGAGAATTCAGGCAGGGTATATTTTCAGCGAGTGGCAATTTCAGAAAGGCAATCAAGCAACCAATATTCTGGCACGACTCAACGATGACTCTTACGATAGATTGGAGTCAAGAGTTGTCGAGATATTTGGCTCAAAGATTCAGGCCGCCCATCGACTGCACTGTGGCAGCCGGGTTAAGATTGGAAAGCGCTCACTGACTGATTGGCTGGATCCTGAAGCGTTCTCGTCTGAGGCATGGCAGCGGGAGTTTACCCGATGCTTGAGCACATGTAAACCATGGATATATCCAGGTGACAGCCAGAGAAGCAAACTGGTACAAGAGCTTCAATGGGGAGGGAAAATGTATGGGTCATTCACAAAGAGCGAACTCGAAACACTTGGGCTTTGGATCAACTCCCTAGGTTTTGACCGAATGCCTTTTTACTACTCTTTCATCGAGCCTATAACGCACCCACGGTTTCAAAGATCCAGAAAATCAGACACCGACAAGGCTGTTAATCTTGTTCTCACGGTTGGCAGTGAGAGTATTGAAACAGCATGTCAACATCCCAAAGGCTCGTTGGGGAAGCATTCAGGAAACCTGACAACAAATCTCAATTTGTCCTTCCTATTACCGCTCTGGTTTACGCAGTGCTGCCTTTTGGAATCATTTTTGTACGCCCCAGGGAGAACGAGCGATAAGATTGGCTGCGCTGTGGTACGCTTCTTGCGGGCCCAGTCCGGCTTCGAGACGGAGGACTTGGTTGTGACAGGGACAGATGAGCCTCACACGACAGAAAATGGAGGAATCGTTGAGCTTGGTCTGGAAATAATTCGTCATTTGTCCCTTCCCGTCCCTCAAGGCCTGCATAGTCTCCTCTCTTGTTGGCCATCCGAGTTTGCCAGAACAATGCTCAAATTAGCGTCCAGCCCCATTCGAAACTTTGGTATTCTTTTGGGTATGTCCATGGCGTTTCTCGAATTGCAGGAAATGGTATCTGAATCTCCAAATTCTGGCTTGCTTTGCCCAAAGAGCAGTGAACGCCTTGCATCGCTGGTTCGAAGGCAGTACCAATGTTTGCAGGTCTGTCTTCAGGAGATTCCCGCCGGAGACGCACGTCGTGTGGGCTTCCACCATGGGTATAGCATGGCAAAGGCGGAGATTAATAACTGCTTCAGGGCAACGGCGTGAAAGCTGGCCAACCAGTCGGCTTCCTTTCCGGACATTGTTTTATGCACGACCCTTGATATTCTGGGATCAGAGATTGCTTTGAAAGCGACGTAAGCTAGTACCTCCGCATTGACAACAATTCTGCTTTCTTTTTGTTGATAGAACACTAGAAGAAAATTCAAACTCATTTGGCAGCTTCATAGTGACCAGGTTGGCCCTGGCAAAAGCTTAAATGCTGCCAACAAGCTTAGGACGTAAGATCGCAGTAGTGCATCAATTCTGAGAGGCTGATTCAAACCGCCCCCTCATGGGGAAGCCCTGAGAAGGAGCCGCATCGTCTTTCCACCATTCAGCATTGTGCTTTTATTTTGGTGTTGCATGAGAGAAGAATAGTTAGATAAACAGAAAAGAACAGGGTTATAATAACCAGGCGGAGGGAAGTTTTAGGAGAAACCATTGATTTCGTTTTATCGACCCATAATGAGGCCCTTATGCCACGGGCACCAGCATGTCTTAAACAGGAAAATTCATTCCAGGATTTGGAGGCAAAAATCAGAAATGTCAACATCATTTTGGAATAGGACATTGTGTTAAGCCTCTGCAATAAAACATACGAATTTGATTGGCCTTTCTTACCCTACTCAATGCTAATCCTAACAACAGCCATTAACGTAATAGATAATTTATCGACTCCGATCATTATTATGGTATGTGTAGCGGTGTAAGTATAATAGCTATTTATACCTGTAAGGTAACTGTACTCTGGAGATATTACTCTATATTATTGATAAACGGTAGGAAACTTATAGAGTGTTATACGGAGCCATTTAAGTATATTAGTCTTGTGTATCTATCGACTAGTAACGTAATTTACAAGAGATTTGGTACCAGATGAAGAAAAACCCAGGCTTCTTGCCACTGCTTCGACTGATATCATACTACCGCATACTGAATCAAGCTTTATGGAAGGAAACCTGAACAGCCCCAATTAGTGCTCTTGGACAATGGGGCCTGAACTGGCCTGGCGGGCTGCGTGCTTTACACCTCCCTCGTTACAAATTTGGAACTACGATCCCTATCCATGTCAGGAACACTTTTGGCTGGGACAGTTTGCCCATTAGTTTAATGATTCTCTACCTGCAAACCCCCAAACAGAATACTTGGCCCTCTGTGCGGTTGGACGCGTGACAGAGCTGGAACTTGGTATTCCTCGGCAGTCGGCCGGGTTGTTGCGATCCCTTACTGTACATCCAAACAGTAACACAATTCTAGACAAAGTTAAGCAAAAATCTGCATAAAATTCGGAGGACGGTACGCAGGATTCTGACTATATAAAATATCTACTGCTACAATTGAAAACATTATGGATCTTATTCAATAAGGTGCAGGCTCCGGACTGGGTATAGTCAGAGGATATGAGTGAAGGTACCTCGCGGGAATTGCGACGGTCTGACAAGATGCAACTGAGGAAGTTAGTGATGGGAGGCTTGATGCAAGATGGGAGTTTGGCATGGAAACAAATATGGCAATCTTGGGAAACACTTCAGCAGGAATCCCCCACGATTCTGATCTCTCCTTCTTCCCTCTTCAGCTTCGATTCTCTTCCTCTTTAGCACCGAATCAAATCCTTCTTTTCGTCTGGCTTATAACAGGAATGCTTCTCAATGTCGCCAGCCCGGTTGTTAGTATTACACCCATTTAGCAATAAATCCTTTCTCTTCCGCACGTCATATTTGCTAACCACGCCCCATCAAGAGCAATCAGGAGGCCTGAAATGATTATAATTCAACTTGCACATAGAAGATGTATACATATTCCAATCAGTAAGGAAGTCATAGTCTCTCCGCCGTCCATCTCAAATTACAAGCCTCAGAATCGAGATCCTGGCAATAGTCAACTTCTTCAACAACGCACTGGAACTCCCAGAAGGTTCCTGTCTCTTGTGCACATTGCCTCCAGAGATCTTTCAATGTTTCTGGACTGTGCACGAACATCGGACTTTCCTTCACAGCCTCCCACATGCCAGCAGATCGACTGCCAAAGTGAAGACCGGTAATGATTGCTCCTTTCTCTGGAGCCAGAAGATAGATCATGCGCTTTGCTACCTCGGATTGTTTCTCCCAATCCCACAAATGCATAAACATTCCAGAATTGATGACTTTCACTCTCTTCGCCAGGCTCATGAGCTCGGGCGTGTCTGCAAAGAAGCTCTGCACCAAGAACTTAGATTTGAGATCTGATTTATCCTGGAACAGATCATGTCCCAGATTAACAAAGGCTTGTCGCAACTCCAGCCCGATCAGGTTTTCCGATGGTGCTCCATCATACACTAGGCGGCGTATGTCTTGACCAAGTCCGCAGCCCAAATCCAGAAACAAATTACCGGCTTTGGTCTGCTCCAGGATTAGCTGGTAGCTGGGAGAGTGGTAGAGATCGAAGTGTAGAAACATGAACTTCTGAAAGCAGGGGTAGCTTTCGATTTCAAATGCTCTCTTAGCCTGTTGGTGGTATAAGGTTATCGTCTTCCCAACCATCGCTGAAATGTTACTGACAATGTGTATGATATGCTTTTCCATAGTCCTTGGCTGTATCTTTGTGTATTCGACCAAGAACTTTCTTGTTTCATTGCTCAGATATTTCGAGAGGTCGGCCTCCTCATTCCAGGTACGAACATATTCACTTCCTTTCGTCATGATGCTGCGTGGTCTATGTTTCAAAAATGCTTTCAGATAACCTCTTCAAATGAGAAAGCGCCCTGGGGTCAGATTGTCTATAATTTTGTTGGGTTAACTTGTGTTCAAATAAGGCGCAGGAAAGAGCACTGACAGGTCGCGAAGAAAGGGACGGTTGGAAAGCCAAATTTAAGAACGTCCATTTCGTAATATAATCATTCCAATTTGGTTTGCCAATCCTGAAGGTCGGGGATGGCATTACCTAGGCCCCACCGCTTTATTAGCTACATCAGCTGCCAGGAATTCGAGGTCTGGGGTCACATCAGCTGAGCTCAATTACACCGCTAGTTACGCCAATCATTCATTTACCCCATACGATGACAGATCCAGCTGATGTAACATTATAGGTCAATTTTGGAGAGGCCGTAAGGTCCCGCCCCCGATGAGTTATCTTCTTATTTCTAGATTATATATCGCGCATAGGGGTCCCTCTCTACATAACTGCAGATCAATAGCTTAGTAACCACAATTAATCAAGGGTGTTGGACGCAAACTTTTGCATAGTCTTGCATAGGCGGTAAGTTACCGCTCCGTGTCTCAACACTTTAACTGGCTAGGTACGCCCCACTTTATCACACGCTAAAACATATCACTTGAGTAACTGTAAATGAACTGTCGTTAGTGATATAAAATCTTAGAACCTGTGTTGTGTTTGGCTATAAGGGCATTTGGTCATATCAAAATGGCCTGACAGATGATGCATGAGTGTGATTTTTCCGTAAGCCACTTGTCCTACCTTGGTACTGCAATTTGTCATTGAGTTTAGATCTATAGAGTATCATAATTACACGTAGGATCGAAAAAAAGTAAGTCACAGAGACAAAACTTTGCAGATCAATTCACTGCTGGTTTCATCGTATGAATCTTGTCTTCTGTGAAGGAAAGTATCTGCTCTTCCTCCCACATTTCACCCAGGCCGGTGTTACCATTGACCATCGACTACAACAACTTATCCAGGAATCAGACAGTCGATACGAACGGAGGAGGGTCTGAACACATTCGGATCCTCCGTAAATTTGGTACGCCACTCAAAATTCGGGCATATTGACTATCTTGCTTTATATGATTCAGCTTCGGAATCGAAATGGCGCGACCTGAATCTAAGGGCGGTGTGGTGGTTGTCTTGTAAAAACCCAATTCCACACAGGATATCGTCACTCAGACGGCTTCTTAGCAGGTAAACACAGCCATTCAACTGCCAATGCAGTATCTGAATTAGTTTCTGTGGTGAGCAATACAAACCAGGCTTTGATAACATCGGCGTTTTGACCCAATAATTACCTTTTCTGGGCGAAGAGGTTACGGGCGAAGATAGACAGACCTATTCGCGACTTAATCCGGTGTTAAAATCTTATTGGACCAGTGTCAGCTACCAGGAAACTCATATATCTCAATTCCTGCGCCTCTCACCTCCTGGAGAATGCAGAATATGTTAACTGAGGAGCACAATTTGCTCCTTGTCTCTGCTTCTCATGACTCATTTTTATGGTGGCAGGCTGGCAGCTCAGACTCAGAGAGTAAGCCAATCATCCTACCTAGATTATTTATCGATATGCATATCCTCCAAATTGGCATCTTATAATTAGAAGTTAATTAGAAGTTAATTAGTCATGCTAATCTTTATTATTACTATAGTTTACTTGGCTCTATGTTACTAAGATATCTTGTATTATAGTAGTAATACACAGTCCTTTAGGCTACAAAACTCTAGGCTGCCCAAGACCTATACTATATAGTGTAATTTGTAATGCTTGAAGGCTTGCAGTCCAGACACATATTATTCTCTGATATCTGCAATGTCATCCAGTGTAAGCAGGCCGGAGGTTGACTGCTTAAGGGGTTCCTAGCTAGACCTCGCCATGACCCATGGGTCACCCTGACGACCCGGACCGCGACCCTGAATATGGAAAAAAACAATAACTTTGATGCAGAACAAATTTTTGAAATTTCTTGCGCAAATCAACCCCTTTTGACCCTAAAATTTATCTAGTTTCTCATGATGACAGCTGCTTTTAATTAATCCTAATTTTATAGGGTTTTAATTACTATATTATTATTAAAGCTCAGGTAGCCGCCCCTAATAGCCTTCTATAGTAGTAAAAAGGGGCTATAGAAAACTCTATATAACTATATCCTAGAACTTCACTATAATATAAGTATCTATTTAAACTATTTAAAGATTTATAATTAAGGAATCCTAAAGTCTCTTATTAAGCTTATTACTAATATCTATACTATTATTAAGGAGGTGCTTAAAAACCCCCTAGGTAATAACTAGAGAAAGGTAGTTATTAATCTTTATAAGATTACTTTTAATATTAAAAAAAATACTATTATTACCTAGTATATCTTAACTACTTAATCTATTCCTCTATCTACTAAGATTTAGTTATATATAGCTATTATAGTAGAGGCACTATCCCTAGGCTATATAGTCTCCTTCTATAGTTTATTAAGTAGTCCTAGGGCTACTCTCTTAGAGCTAAGTAAGAACTATAAGATTATTATTAAACTACTAAATACTAGTATAGTAAGTATATTCCACTATTTAAAGATAGTAGAGATAAATAATAAGGCTAAGAAGGCCTATATAAAGGCCTTAAGGGAGGCTATAGTAGCTACCCTTATATTTATTAAGTTTATAGCTACTTACTAGCTAAAGTTAGGTAACTTAAGCCTTAGCCTATAAACTATCTAGCAGGTTAAGATCATATGCTACCACCCTAGCTAGGCTAAATTATTCTACTAGGGTGCTATTATCTACTTACTAACCTAGGGTATAGTGATTTATGATATCTAGGTTAAATTAATTAGTGACCTGGCAGACCCTAAGGAGGTAAAGTAGGTGACTAACTAGTTACTAGCTAAGAACTAGTTCTCCTAGGGAGAGACTAAGATTATCTATCTTATCTAGCTTATAAACTAACCTACTAATAAGAAGTCCTCTACCTTAGTAATTAAGTTTTCTACCCCCCAGGCTGCTAATAAAGCTAAGGCTTGCAAGTTGTGATGCTATTATTATTATTATAGTTAGAATTAAATAGATAAATTTCATCAATCTATTAGTTACTATCATTAGGTAATCATACCCTTTTAACTTTAGTAATAGTCTAATAAAGTTAATAGTAATCCATTCCCATGGTTTCTTTAGTATCTCTAGTAATTATATCTTACCATACAGCTAGTGCCTAGCTAGCTTATCTTAGATATAAGTTTTATATTAGTAAATATATCCCTATACCTTCCTCCTTATATTAGGAAAGTAATAATTCCTTAAGATAGCCTTAGCCATCTTCTCAGTCCCTATATAACTATATATTAGGTTATTATAATACCTAGTAATAATCTTACTTCTTATATACTTAGGTATATAGATAAGTCCTTATAGATATATTAACCCTTACTTATTACTAGTTATATACTTATTCTCTACTAAGTTATTAAGTATTTCTTAAATAATTTTATCTTTTTTAGTTACTTTAATAATTTTTTAAATAAGTAGGTCCTCTTATAGCTTAATTATTATTATAAGAGTATAATAATTATATATTAGTAACTTATCCTCTTATTACTTTAATATTACTAGTTTAATAGTTTTCCCCTAAAGTTTATAATTAGATTACTAACTAAGTATATTAGCCTGTCCATTTTTTATTCCCTTATAATAGATAATCTTAAAGTTAAACTATAAGAGTATCTTAGCCCATCTAGCTTATCTTCTTATTAGTTCTTTTATTATTATAAAGAATATAAGATTCTTATAATCTATCTTTATAATAACTATTTATCTTATTCCCTCTAGATAGACTCTCTAGACTTTAAATACTACTACTATAGCTAGTAGTTCTTTATTATAGATATTATAGTTAAGTTCTACTTAAATTAACTTCTATAAGTAGAATATAACTAGTTATAGTTTCCTATTATCTTCTAGTTAAGTTATTCTTATCTTAATTATATAGTTAGATGCATTAGTTTTAATTATTATTTCTTTTTCTAGATTATATTAAACTAGTATTAGTATAGTAATAATTTATTATTTAATATAATAGAAAGCCCTATTATAGTCTTTATTCTAGTTAAATTCTCCTCGCTCGCTCACGCGGCTCATCTCTCTCACTAATTTGATTCTGCCTTAATCATCTCTCCTCACTCACTCACGCGGCTCATCTCTCTCACTAATTTAATTCTGCCTTAATCATCTCTCCTTGCTTGCTTATGCAGCTCATCTCTCTCACTAATTTAATTCTGCCTTAATCATCTCTTCTTACTTACTTATACAGCTCATCTCTCTTACTAATTTAATTCTACCTTAATCATCTCTCCTTACTTACTCACACAGCTCATCTCTCTTACTAATTTAATTCTACCTTAATCATCTCTCCTTACTTACTCACGCAGCTCATCTCTCTTACTAATTTAATTCTGCCTTAATTATCTCTCCTCACTTACTTATATAGCTCATCTCTCTCACTAATTTGATTCTACCTTAATTATCTCTCCTTACTTACTTACATAGCTTATCTCTCTCACTAATTTGATTCTGCCTTAATYATCTCTCCTTACTTACTTATATAGCTCATCTCTCTTACTAATTTAATTCTGCCTTAATCATCTCTCCTTACTTACTTACATAGCTCATCTCTCTCACTAATTTAATTCTGCCTTTATTAAGAGAGATAAGCACGCGCAGGGGGTCCCAGACCTTATAAGCTAAATTAAACACACCCTATAAGCTAGCCAGCTAGCTAGCCCCCTTAAACACCAATCCATATAATAATTAATAAATAGGGACCTTAATAGACCCCAGAATCTGACCTCCCTACCCCTAAGATCCATCTCCACACAGTTAAACACATCATTATTTTAATCAGCAGCTCACAGCTTCCTAATTAGGATCCTATACATTAATTACTACTACTAATCAAAGGCCCTAGCACCTCAGGCCTAACCCTACTAAT